AGAAAAACAGGAGGGGGCATTCCTGGGGAGTGTGGAAAAGAAGAGCTTCCTAGCAGCAAGCCTGGCAAAAGCATAGAGCCAAGGAAGGAATACTTCTTCAGGCTCTGTGCTATGGCCATGCAGTTAACTCCTGGCATCTCCATGCTGGGAGTGGAGCTGGTGGGAGGCATATTTCTCTAGACTTCATGCTTTTGCTGTGCTTAACCCCCAGGACTCTACTTTAAGAGGAAGGATAGATTCCTGGCCCCTGGCCAAGCCCCTGCTTGCCCCACCATCTAGTGGTAAGTCAGATGTGAAGATTAGAGACGTCAAAACCTTAACCTGTGACTGCTGCGACACTATTTTAACTTAGTCTAATGCTTTAAACATAAAACGTATGAAACTAATAGTAGTTTGGTCTTGCTAGATCATATAATACTGTAGCAGTGTGTGGAAAAGCTTACTGATGTATTTCTTGTGTGGCAATTTAAGAGCAGTTTCTGAATTGCATCTAAACACAAGTCCTGTACTATTAAAAGTAATAATAATGTGAATCAGTGATTATTTACCAACTTAATATTGTTTGATGTTGCAGAAAGTATTCTGAAGCTAATAAGAAATATTCTCCAGACTACCAAATGTCTTATAGCATGCTGCCTCAGATGACAGTTTTATGAATTGCTCTGCAGAGGAATACAGGGATTTATTCCTGTTTTACAGTGCTAGCCTTTTTGCAAGTGACTGAAGGAAATATAGAAAGAACCAAGATACAGTTTGTTCTGGAATGAATATCCTTTAATAAGCTTCTTGTGTTGAGAGAACAATAAATACATAAAGGCAAGACATATTTGCTGTATTTCTTCACATATGTTCATAATATAGCAGGATGCCAACTGGTAGATTTTTCAGAAATAGTTTAACAACTAATTATCTAGGTTACAGCATTGGAGGGGAAACTGGAAAGCGTACACATTAGCAGGAGACAAACATTGTGACCAAAAATGTTTTCTTGGTATCAATTTAATGACGCACACATTCCAGGTGGACCCATGAGGAAAGAACTGCAGTGTACAGGCCAAAGTGCTTAGCTTCGTGCAGTAACTGTTGGAGGTTGTTCTGACTGTAACTGCTTCCCGAGATACTCCCTGCAAGAGACATAATAAACAAAAATCAAATTGTGAAAGGTTCCCCCATGGAAGGAGCCTTAAACATGGTAAAAAAAAAAAAAAAGCAGCAGCAATGCCTTTATATTTAAGTCCTTTCAGATAAAGGGCCATAGCTATTGATTTTCAGATGCCCAACTTTAGATGCTTTGAAATGACTCCTGAGCATGAAAAATATCCCGATTACCTGCTCTCTGAAAACAAAAGCTCCCTTCTGAAACACCCAGAAAGTCACCAACATATCTGAAAAATCTTCTGAATCCTCATGAATCCATGACTACAATAAATTTGCTTGTTGACCATCACAAGTGTGGTTGAGACATTTGAGACATTTTGCGCTTCACAGTGCATAACTCCTAGTAATGTGCAGACAGATGGTATACACTGTTTAGCTGGCAAAGCCTCATTTGTTTAACACTGATCCAGGGCTGTTCTTGTCCAAATCACAAGCTCTCTCAATCCACTTAGATCTGACACAAATAATCTTGGTATGTATGTAGAATAAATGTTAAAACTGGCCTAGAGAAAGATTTGTTTTAATAGCATTTATTTTTGCAGCAATCCAGCCTAAACTTGGAGCAAAGTTAGGCATGGTTTTTGTATTCCTAAAGTGAAATAGCTTTGAGGAGTCCATCCTTCCCACAAATGTTACAATGTACTTTTCAAATTTACTTGCAAAGTAACAATTAAAGCTTCATTGACATGCATTGGAAAGAATCAATCCAAATCTCAACCACAGATTTATGAAGTGACACCAAAGGTCTAATCAAAAAGGTGCTGAGTGCTATATTCCACTGGATTCAATGGGAGGTTCAGGGAGCTCAGCCCCTGATAGAAGCTGTGTACAAATGATCTGGAAAAATTCTTCCAGGTTCGTTCTCCTGGTAGAGAAACTTAGCCACAGCCTCCTGCACAGATATTAAAACACTGAGGCCCTTAAGAATGGAGAGCTCACAGTTGTGAAACTGCACAGCCGGGGGGGGGGGGGCCGGCC